TGTTATGGCAAAGCCCCTATGCATCTTGAAAAGCAGGCAATTTATCTCGTCTAGTTAGCTCTTAGAAAGTTCCTTCTTTATCTCCCATCAAGTTTTAATTAAAATTGTGAATGACTGTTTATTATAGAAGCACGTAATGGTTCTAACAAACTTACTTTCTCAATTGCAGTAAATAGATTTCGGATGGAAAATTCTTTAAAGAATTTGGTGACTGTTTTCTATGCTATCTATATTTTTACAACACGAATTTAAGTCCTGAGAATTAAAGGCAGCATCAAAATAAGGAAAAATATATTTGCTGCATCTACATTCTCTATATCACTGCACAATTTGAAGAAGCTTAAATTCCAGAGCCTTAATTTTCGTTTTGCATTAGATTAAATTTTTCTCCAAAATAGTATGATAGAATATACTAATAAAAAGCGAGTTTCAATAAATACCCTGAGATAACCTGTTGTCGAGACTTTTATTCCGTATGAAGGTGCATAATGAAGAGATTCGTAGGTCGATCTGATCAGAATACAATGGCTGACTCCCGTTGTGCTGCCGCCACTTGGCTTTAAGACGGCGTTCAGGCTGATGAATTATATAGGGCATTATCCCTCTTTTAGAGTGAAAACGAGCTGAGTCTTTGTTCGTCATGTTAAAAACATCTTCAGAGATGGGACTCACTTCTGTAGAAGTCTAAAGTTATCAATAAGCTAAAAAGACTAACCTGCTCCATCCTACCTGCACTAACTAAACGATTACCTACTAATTTATATCAAAGTATCTTTCGTCGTGAGTATGTATAGCATCTTGGATAAAGCCGCTTAGATTTCTTAAAGTTATGTTAACCTGAGACTTTTGCAAGCATGAGCGTCAATTGTGATGATATTCGTAATATAAAGAATGAAAGCATGGCCTATTTTAACCCGAAACTCCAGGAGTTAGAAAGTCCTTAAATCCGATTTAACGAATGCGTATTTTCGAGAATAAACAAAAGTTCTTTATAGTTCCTATAGTGGACTGCGCTACATTATTGATTATCTGCACGTATCTTTATAAAACTTTTACATTTATAATTTCTTTTTTTATATTCTCAATAATTAGCATGGTGGGTTGCAGCGCAAGACTGATCTTTCTTCCAATATTTTACCGATGAACTCAAGGACAATAGAGAGCCAAATCCAACCAACCGTTGGAGAGAATAACTCTCACCAGCAGAAAACAAGAGAAGCTGCCGCGGATTGCTTTGATGCTATAAGTGACCAGAAAGGAAATAATCCTCTATTAGATCAAACAATTAATTCAGACATTGACTCTCTTCCCAGAATCACGAGGGCTCATAGACTTTGCTTTAGCCCAGGGCCTGTCTCCGAAGATACAGAATATAGCTTGACTGAAAACATTTTTTTGGATATTAACAAATTTACTCAAGTATGCGAAGCGAGAAGCCCAGCAAAAAGAATTTATCAAAGCAATATATCTAAGCCACATCAATCCGATACTCAACCCACAAATGATCTTCAGGATTACTCAATGCCATCAACAATTGACGAAGAAGCGCCACACTTGAAACATAACTATAACATAAAAAATAATACCATTGATTCATTCTATGGATTAGACGTGACAACTAATTCAAAGTACCCAAGTATAAACGAAAGCTGCTTTATTATGCAGGGTTTGGAGATTGGAAAAGATGACAGCCTGCCTGAAGAATCTAAGGAAGAATTGCCATTTCCATATACTCAAAAGGTAATCCACGATATTGAGTCTACAAAGCAACTTGCATTCTCATACTTTTCTGATTTTTCAGTCTCATCTTGTTCCGATCAAAGAGAAAAGCATGATCTCTTTACCACCACAGACTTTCTTTCCTTGGCAGACTTTAAAGAATTTTTGTGAATACCTAAAACTTTTCCAATAAACTAGACATTTTTATTATTATTTTACTGTGGACCATAGATCATATATACGCATAAAATATCGTATTCAATGTAAATATAGGGTCGCGAAACAAATGGCTTATGGGAAAATCAAGAAATGTTAAGGCTAAAATATGACTGATCAGATGTACTGTTTATTTTTGTTTTACTGGCCTTTCAATTAAACCATAGATATGATTTTATTTTTAAATTGATATAATTAATGTAGGCCTCAGGCTTGTATCACTTTTGATAATGTTTTTCATAATCGAAGGTATGAAGGCCAAGATGGCGTGGCCTTTTGTGTGGTCGTATTCTCCTATACAACAACTTTTATACAACGAATGTCTATTATAGTTTAATTTGTGTTATTTAGTATGTTAGGCCATCAATAGCGTTGTTTGACTTTTTGACAGGACAGGAGTCCAATGCCAAATAAATGTTG